TTCCCTCTTGGCAAAAGTTGGAAAACTTACTAAAACTGAGCTTCTATAAGGCAATGAATATTGCGGAGGGCGTGGCTCATCACATAAAGGTGTATAACATCTCAAGGGTTTCACTCATCACCACGCAACTTTGTAGGCATATGACCACACATAATCTGAGGGGACTCCTCCATTATTGACCCCATCAAACAAAATGGGGGCGCTAGAGAGCTCATTTCTTATCTAGGCCTAACCGCCATATGGATTTTTATTAAACTTGGTAGATATGTAGAACAGGACGCCTCAAGGTGACTGGAGAAATTTAACTCTAATTGGCAACTGGGTGGTGCTATAACAACAGAAAAATGGCTAAAAGGCGACTGATCGCTGTGGCTGCAATGGTACTATCAAATTCACAAAAACTCTGTCTGAATACATTGCTCTTCTTAATGGGTTCAGTTGACTATATTATCTGCAGTTTCCTATGACCTGTATCCCAAACACACACCATGTGAAACTGTATGTAGGCAACTGTCCACTCAATGCATGGACTAGTTTTTTTAACCTACCATCAGCAGCTTGATCAGTTGTTCCGTTCTGCACCTTCACTTCATCGTACACAATTTCCTCCGTTTTACCTGTAAGGTTAAAGAACACAATCTCCTGGTTAATTACTACGTAGCGGTCAAGTCTTTTAAAGGGGTATACCATTATTTAAATTAATAAAAATGTCTTGCCTATTGATGATTGCTTTTGACCTAAAATTACAATCATTAAAACTGTCAGCTAAAACACAAGATGATGAAATTGTCTCACAGTTAGTAGATCATATCAGTGAGGAAGCTTTGCCTTTTTTAGGGAAAAATTGAACAAATAATCCAGTACACATTTTCTGTTTTTACTGTAAGAAGCTGCGGTCAGGGTGGGTTACATACTGAAAGAAGGCAAAACTAAACAAAAGACCGTCAGTTTAAACCCAACATGAGTTTAGGAAAAGCACTCTGAAAGTACATAACAGAGGACGCAGTCATTCTCAACATTGTACCATGTGCATTTAGATTCTCTGTTCTCTTGTTCTCTGGGTCATAAAAACATTAATGCAAGTGTGTCAGGTTGCCGCAACATCGAGATCAGCTTACGAAACATTTCCACATATCATGCTTCTGATTCTTTCTCTGGATACATCAACTTATTTTTACTTACAACAGATTAAGTTTAGTTGGAATTAATATTCTGATCATTTAATATACCGACTGTATTCAATTAATCTGAAGTCACGTGCCTGGGCATTGTTTTAGATTCAGATTAAAATTGTACTTCACATAAGAAACATCGCCAAAGTACAGCCATTCCTATTTTACAAAGATGCTGAGAACATATTCATGCTTTTATATAACATAGATTAGATTATTGCAATGCCTTACGAAACGGTCAACTGAAAACTTTGAATTTGCTCAAGAACTGTGCTGCCAGACTTTTAACCACAACAGGGAAGAGAGAGCAAATTACCACAGTTTAAGATCCTCTCCACTGGCACCCGGTGTCTTTAAAACAGATATTAAGGTTCTTTTACTTGTTTTTAAAGCTCCTTATGGTTTAGGACTCGCCTACATTGCAGACTCTCATCAGATTGTCGTCTCTTCTACTGCAGGGTTTTTAAAGACACACAATTATACGCACAAGAAAACAGGCAGCCTAAATTATCAGCTACCCTTCCAGAAGCTGTAAGAGATGCTGGCTCAGTGAACATTTTTAACCGACAGATAAAAACGTAATTATTTAGTCTGGCTTTCAATTAACGTAATCCTTCTTCTTATTATTTTATATTAATTCTCTAATTTTTGCAGACCTTACCAGTATTTGTTCTTTTTGTTGAATCTTTATTGTAAAGCACATCCATGTGCATCCCTTGTATGCAAAGCACTCTATAAATAACGTTAATATTACGTTCTATGCAATATTATAATAGAATAGGAACTTACGTTACCTTCAGATGGAGGATTTTTGTTAGCTTTGAATACAACTGAAGCGTAGTTAACCCCCTCCTGCTCCTCCGCCATCGCTGCAGCCATCCTGTTGGCTTCAGTGTGAATTGCAGACAGAGAAGTGCCGGTGATATTAAACCTAAGGGCACTAATACGAGAACTGGTTGTTTCCTCTCTTCAGACGAGGCTGTCACTCACAGTCTTGAATGAGCGACTTCTGCTTTTGGCTTAGAAACTAATTTGCATCCATGACTGACAGAGTATGAACCTCCAAACCATATACAGTGTGTTCTTGTGTTATGGAAATATAAATTCTAACAAAAGGAAATATTACAAAGAGTGTGCACGCAGGACGAGGACTGCAAATATGTAACTTTGGACTTTGTATGTTTGCCTGGTGTCAGGAAACACAATTCATACTGACCCCATAATAAGGCATCCTGTCTGTTGCAAATGGTGTTTACAGCCACAACATGCACTCACACATTCTCACACTTTGACTGTTTTTTTGTTGTTAAAATATTACATTGAAACCAAGTACTGTATGGTTTTGACACTTTTCTAGCTTGTTAAAAAGGGACATACAGTAAAAAATAAAAAAACTCTCAAATTTTAGGGGTGCTGGGATTCAATTTAGGGGTGCTTCAGCACCCCCAAAAATGGGCTAGAAACGCCTATGCTTTGCAGCAATGTTCATACAAATCATTTATATAATATAACATAGGAACAACCAACATCAAAGTGTGTGACTACCAACCCAACGATGGGGATGGTTGCCACAGGTGCACCAGATGTATCACTGAACAGGCCCACACCCAAAGTGGCAGGGCCCCCTGGGCTTTCACCTAAATGTCACAGAATTAACACACCAACCAGGAAACACTCAACATGACCACAAAGAGATGCAAAGGACCTGCAAAGAGACACAAAAGTACTATACAAAGTACTGTGTATATATATATACTCTGACGTAGGCTCGGATGTTTCCAGTCTCCTCTCTGTCAGCTCCTCTAAGCTTGTGTTAAATTTACGCTCTTATATCCAGTGTCCTTCAAGTTACTCTCAAAATGTGATACAATACATACCTTTATTTGAAAGTAATAAGTTACTTTTACAACATTACTCTCTGTGTAGAGTAATAAGTTACTTATTAGACAACTTTTGTGTTACTTTCACCAAAATGAGCTCAGAAGAACTGATGCTGATCTGAAATAGATGAGGGTCATGTTTCACTGAAGCTCCAGATTACTACAGTTCAGGTCTGACCCATTCATGTGTTCACACACAGTGGTTATCACTTTGTACTAAAATCCTCTGCTTATATAAATGATAGCGTGATGATATAGAACGATTTAACAGCCCAGACCTATTACAAAAATGAACATCCTTGGACACAGGGAGGGTCAGGCAGATGATCAAAGTCTAATAATTATAAGATAAGAATAAATATTTGTGGGCCTACGGTAGTGTTAAAGCAAATGATGATCAATACTGTTGTAGAATTTTCTGTCTACATACAGTATCTGTTTGGTGTTTATGAAAAGTGTGTGCTTTAAAAATGTCAGTTTAAGTTGAAAAAGATGCAGACATCCAGTGAGGCACATGTCAAACTTTTTCAGGACAATGACCCCTTGGCTGACAGAGACACAGAGCAGGGACCTCATACTACATATATTGTATAAAACTGAGATGCATGTTAAACTGGTGGGTGGCACGGTGGTTTAGTGATTAGCATTGTCGCCTCACAGCAGTCTGTGTGTTCTTCCTGTGTCAGCGGGTACTTCAGCTTCCTCCCACAGTCCAACGACATGCAGGTTAACTGGTGACTCTAAATTGTCTGTAGGTGTGAATGTGAGTGTGAATGGTTGTCTGTCTCTTTCAGTAAGTTTACATGACACTTGAAAAAAACAAATTATTGCCTTAATCCAACTATAACTGGACAACTGAAGTGCATGTAAACACGTTACTCCGACTGATATCGGAGTTCTCCAACTCTGATTAAGACACCCAGATAATGCGAATGTAATTCGATTTTCTCCGGCATGTATACGCCTTAATCGAAGATAAACTAGACAATGCATGTGCGCATGCTCCACACCCCACGCACTGGCGTATGACCCCGGAACAGACAAGACATGCTATTGTTGTAGCCCTCCAACAGCATTCTTGTCTGCCTCTCGAAATCACCATGACCACGAGGGATACCGTGCACCTTATCTGCACAATCAGTAACGCGTACATTACGTACGAGATGAACAAAGCTGTACGATTATCCATCTTGCTGTTGTTCGAAAATGCCGGTCTGCCGTCTGACTCCAGTTGTTTATTATTAAGTGACGTAATAGGTCAACCGGAAAGGGGGCTGTATTAACCCGCTGAAACGACGCATATCACCACCTAGTGTTGAGGAGGAGGACACGTTCCCGTCAGTAATTTGATTTTCTCAGTTGCTTGTAAACTGGGACAAGGATTAGATTAGATGCCAAAATTGAATTCTGAGCATAGCTCGATTAAGCTGTGCATGTAAACATACTGACTGTGTCAGCCCTGTGATAGTCTGGTGATCTGTCCAGCTGAGATAGGCTTCAGCTCCCCCGCGACCCCTAAATGGACAAGCAGTAATAGAAAATGAATAAATGAATGTTAAACTGGACCTAAAATAACAGGTTGTGTGGCCTAAAGTGCCATGTATATATCTACCCTTTTAAGGTACTTACAATACTAAGCTATTAAAATAATTATTGGCACACTGATACATCATGTTTGTTTCTGAGGTTGACAGCATTTTAGAGTCTCAAAAAGTAACAAAGTGATTCGTGATGGATCATAAGGACGCAAGCGCACCTGAAATAATAATACAGCTAACTGGCCAGTAACTGGTTCCAGTAGTATGTAACTGTTAGCTAACCAGTTCACCTCGTGGGTACGGACAGGTGCCAGGATCTTTATGTGCATTTGTCTGACTACTGTTACTGCAGCTCTGATGTTGATCAGTGGGTCCTTCACTTTGGTCCTGTCTGAAATACTCATCAAGTATTGGATTGCCATGAACTTTGGTACAGACATTCATGCTCACCAGATGATAACTTTAGTGATCCCCTGGCTTCCCCCCTAAGGTCATCATGAGGTGGACCTTTTGGATGTGTTGCCCATTTAATGGACTGCTATGAAAATTGGTTCAGATATTTATGGTCCCCAGGGGATGAATCCAAATGACTTGATGAGTCTCTAACTTTCTTTGCAGCCCAATCAGAGTGGTCAGTGAGATAGCTCAAAATCTACTATAGGAATTGAGTCAAAAGTTGGTACAGATATTCACACTCCCCACAGGATGAATCATTGACGTGTATATGCTGTACTTCTTTATATTACTTTCCATATTAATGGTTTTTTTTTGGGGGGAGTTTTTCCTTATCCGCTGTGAGGGTCTTAAGGACAGAGGGATGTCGTATGCTGTAAAGCCCTGTGAGGCAAATTGTGATTTGTGATATTGGGCTTTATAAATAAAATTGATTGATTGATTGATTGATATTATAGTAGGGTGCTAGGTGTAAGATATTTTCTGAGACTAGATTTGTACCCTACTTAAACTATCTCGTGTGAACTTCTGTTGTCTTTTTTATTGTGTGCACATTTTGCCTGTCTGTTCCTTCTTTCAGTCGAAAAAGGAAAGAGAAGTCACATTATATTGTGTCATATTATCAGGGCATAACACATGTTAACACAGTAAAACTGAGTCTGCACTTGGTGTATGTCATAGAACATGGGGATGATTGACTTGTTTCACTGAGGCTTCAGCAAGTCAGCTTTGGGTCAGAATATAAATAAAGATGATGGGAGTGAATTACAATTGTGCAACTATTGAAAAGGTCCTTAATAAAATACAATAAACAAATGCTTTATATGTGAAAACATTCTGTTGACCGTAATCCATTTGAGTGTACCAAAAAAGTTCCCACTGTGACAAAACTGATTTTGAAATGCTAAAGGTAAGTGTTTATTAATAAAACACACAACCATCTCTAGGGTTTACAGAGGATGGTCCCAAAAAGAGAAAATATCCAGTGAGCCAAAATGCCTTGTTGATGCCAGAGGTCAGAGGAGAATGGCCAGACTAGTTCAAGATGATAGAAAGGCAACAGGAAGTCAAATAAGCACTGGTTCCAACCAAGGTGTGCAGAAGAGCATCTCTGAAGCAACAACACCTTGTCCAACCTTGAAGCAGATGGGCTACAGCAGCAGAAGACCACACCAGGTGCCACTCCTGTCAGCTAACAACAGGAAACTGAGGCTACAATTCAC